ATTATTTATAAAAATGGAAATACTATGTAATACATACATTAATTTTCTATTTTTAGTACAACTTGTGCACATGACTTCTGGTCTAAATTTATACACTGATCCATAATGTCCTTACAATGGATATGATCTAAGACATTTTTTCAGAAAACGTAAACATTTATATAATCTTTACCATTGTTATCTTCTTTTCACAAATATCTAACAATCAGGAGACAATAACCTCGAAAGAACAGTCTTAATATTAAGCAATGAACTTCAAAAAATGCGCACAGAAGTCAAATGAAGAAATGATGCGATATCTCAAGGTAAGTTATGTGTTACAGAGAAAAAAATATCTGTTATGTATATATACTTATTTGTGTCAAACTGTGTCTTATTTTTTTTCTAGTCAGATCAAATCGATTCTCTTTCACAAGTCACGTTTCTATGGGACAATATTCCGAATATATAGATGAATATAAAACATACTGGGTTGAGTTTACGGCCCTTTTAATAACAGGAGGAAAAGAGAAGCTCATTTACCAACACAATTGTACAATATTTTATCGATCGAAATCGGACTTAGTGCTAACACATTAGCTAGTTTTTATCGTCATCAAAAGTCACCAAGAAGAACTTCTATGGATAAAATTATCAAATGGGTTGAAAGGGAGGGAAATAAGAAATCAGTTAGTTTTTCTGATAGTAGCAGTAGTAACAATAGTAGTAGTAGTAGCAGTAGCATTAGAGGAAGTATCAGTGGAGGTAATATTGCGAAATAACTTGATGCTGGGACACTCATTTATGGCTTAGGATCCGAGAACAACCTCCCTCTTTGATAGCATCATTTATTTCAATCATTACATTCCTCCGGTCTTTCGATCTATTTTTTTTATTCATTTTTTTTACTTAACGGATCGGCACTTTCTCATATATTGCATTACGAAAAAATATAATAAAGATTTTACTTCCAATTTTTAAACGCGTTGCGTGTTATGATCTGCGTACTCCCTCTCTCCTCTCTCTCCTTGATGCCTTTTTGACCCTCCTCGTGTTATTTTTTTTTGACCCGCATATATTTTATTAATGATATGCAATAAGCCAAAGATAAGCCAATCGGATAGTAAATATAATTGGCGATTTGCATATCACGTGAGCGGTCCAGCAGTTATAAATTGTGCAATTGATCGTCTGAGTAATTCGTCTGACAGTCTTGCACAATTTTTAACCATGTCAGAACTGTGGAATATTTATTTTGACACAGCACAACCAAAAGATTACAGTTTTTTGGGTTTTTACGAGTACTGATCGAAACAAGCTGATTTCACCTCCGTCTTCAAAAAAGAGTCGTATAAATTGAAAATGGATCTTGCTAATCTGAAAAAGTATGGTTCGGACGAAATGAAAACGAGCGCTAGTAAGTTAGACGAAGCTCGCAAGGTGAAGTTATCTGTTTTTTTCTCCCATCATTTTCAATTCTGGTTGGCAGAGAGATGCATACAAGGCTTTGAAGTGTTATACGGAATGATAACTCTCTCACCGCTTCTTGTATAAGAGTACCGCATGTTGAGGTTGCAATCAATGATCTTGTGAGAAGGAACTCACACAACTACGGTAGCAATCGGAATGTTGGCCCACCTTACGGAATGGAATGTCCGTTGTGTCGCCTCTTACATGCTTTATCTTCAATCATACACCTTGAAACGGTTTACTAAATCCAGTTCAACTACAGTCCGCGACATAAATATCCGGAATTTATCGCGACAAATAAAAAAATTGTAAATCTTATTTTATTCATTTCATATTTATAC